TCATCTTAACGGTTAAATGCATCAGGAACAGCAGGAGCAGCAGCACGTGCTGCATGAGACGGACCGACTCTGATGATTACAAGAACCCCAGCAGAAACCTGCAGATTCAGCTCAACACTGATGGACCTATAAAGTACGTGGAGGTCCTGGGAGGAGACATGCTGTCTCAGAGTCAGTCCTTCAGGTCCTGTATGTCTCCAATGTCAGAGTACAGCGATTTCACTCTGATTAAACCCAGCAGCACCACAGACTTTAAGGAGGTGATCAGTGTTCTGGATGCTTCTTTACCCGACAGCACCTGGACCTTTGAGAGCCAGCAGGTGAGAACAAAATCCGAAGGGAACTCAGTAAAATTATATCCCTTACCCTGAATTTAAAATTAACGTATCCTGATTTTTTTTTAATCCTGATTTTCATTTTGCAGTTCCTTGCTTGATTATGTCTAGCAATGAGTGTAGTGCAACAAGTTCTCCTGCTCGCAGTTTTTTGTTTCTACACTTTCTTGTTTGATTATCACTATGGAATGTAGTAACTGTAACAAATCCGGGTATATATTTAATTAAGTGATAATATACATAATCGCTTTCACTCTCTCTACCATGCACTGCGTGTGTGTTTGTGTGGTACTACTATATAGGTAAAAGAAAAATTTTACCACTACTATTGGTTTCAATTTATTATTGCATATCTTCTTTTTTTCCAAAAAATGTTATCAGTTTCATGTTTTTTCTTACTTTAAAAAGACACTAGTTTTCATAGAATTAAGGCAAACTTACAATTCAGTTGCAACAATTATTTTTAATTCACTCTTGATATATGTTTTTCAGCGTTTTCAATAAGTATAATCAGTTATTAGTTTTCGGTCTTTATGTTAATGAGGCGTATCAAATATAGAAATCCCCTCTAATTCAAATTGCCAGGATCTTCAAAATGCCTGCCGTGTGTCGTGTTATAGTTTAAAGAAAATGTGTATTTATTTGATTTGATTTTTATTTGTCTAGAATTACTGAGTTTTACAATGAAGCCTGTTTTTAACCTTTGATCTTCTTCTGATAAACTGCATTGTTTTGGGAAAATCCGGTTTGGAAACCACGCCCCCATGCGGGCGCAAACAGCATTGCGTTAAATGACATAAGGCTGATACGCCACTGTTTTGACAATGAGAACTCTCTAAGAAAACCACGTGGGGGGATTTTTCTATATAAAGATGACTTATCCTTTGCATTTGTGACTTCGATCTCCGTTATACGTTTTAACAGACTCTTGGCGTGCTGTGTTGTCTTTCGGTGTAATCTCAAACTTATGAAACCAATGTTTTTTCGAGTTGATACTCGTATGTGGAAGTGAAGTCACTAAAAAGTTTTCGGTGCGTGTGTGAGAGAGAGATGACAACACTGATCCAACCCTGTCTTCCAATGAGAGGGAAGGCCTGATTTGCCTCTCTCCGCCCATGAGGGGAATCAGGCGGAGGAGACACAAGCAGAGAGTGGAGGCAGAAAAAAACTTTGAGTTTTCGCTCTCGTTTATTTTTTCTTTTTTCTTTAAAAACGGCCGTCATGGTCACATCAAAACATCCCATCGCCCTTTTTCTAAAATGGAAATGTTTAGGAGTGTGGACGTCGCGTTTTAATTCTATCATGGATACGCTACAGTGAAAGAAGTTAGAAACGTTGCCGTTCCCTGATCCTCGGAGCGCAGTACAATGGACTCCGCGCAGACAAAGTACTCGGGAGGAGGGAGGCTGTGGAGGGTTTACTTTTATCTAGCATGGGTCTCCTGTGCGTCCGCTCAGCTCAGCTATTCCGTATCGGAGGAACTAAATCCAGGCTCTGTCGTGGGGAATATCGCTAAAGACTTGACTCTCACTGCTCAGCGGATTGTTCAGAGGAGGCTGCGGGTGGTCTCCGAATCATCAGTGCAGTACTTTGAGGTGAAGCAGACGACCGGCGATTTGATTATTAAACAAAAAATTGACAGAGAGAATCTGTGCGATTTAAGTTCAGCGTGTTCACTACACCTTCAAATACTTATGGATGATCCTTTAGAGATCCATCGCGTCGTGGTGAACGTTCTGGATGTGAATGACAATGCGCCGCAGTTTTCAACCACTAACATTTCTTTGGAGATTTCTGAGGCGGCCGCACCTGGCACACAATTTCGTTTGGAGAGCGCGCACGACCCTGACGTGGGTACCAACTCGTTACGCACGTATCATCTCGCATCAAATGACTTCTTTACTTTGAATGTGGAAACTAAAAGTGACGGCCGCAAGTTTCCAGAGCTAGTGGTGGATAAAGCTTTGGACAGAGAGAGGCAGGCCTCGTTTCGCCTGCTGCTCACTGCTGTGGATGGGGGTCAGCCAGAGAAATCTGGCTCAACACTTCTGCTCATTGACATTCTGGACGTAAATGACAATGCGCCCGTCTTTGACGAACCTGTAAAGAAAGTTACACTATTAGAAAATGCTGCACTGGGCACTTTAGTAACGAAAGTAAACGCCACAGACGCCGATTCGGGTAGCAACGGGGACATATCGTATCTTTTTAGTAAATACACACCACAGCACGTTCTCAATCTATTCACTGTGGATTCTAAAAGCGGGGAAATCCGTGTAAAGGGTGTTGTGGATTATGAGGAGATGAATGCATATCACATAACAGTGCAGGCCAGAGATGGTGGCTCTCCCGCTATGGAGGGCTCCTGTAACGTCATTGTGACCATCACTGACGTGAATGACAATGCACCAGAGGTGAAACTGGTGTCACTGACTGAGTCTATCAGAGAGGACTCAGCACCGGGGACCGCTATAGCGTTCATAAACACACGGGACCCAGACCCTGGTCTGAATGGAAATGTTAAGCTGACTATCACGCCAGGTTTACCATTCAAACTCATGTCAACTTTTGACATGAGTTACCGCCTGGTCACAGCTGGCAACCTGGACCGTGAGACTGTCCCAGAGTACTCAGTTATCATCAAGGCCACTGATGCTGGTTCCCCTCCCCTTTCATCACAAATCAACTTTGTGGTGAAGGTGTCTGATGTAAATGACAATGCCCCCACCTTCTCTCAGCCTTCATACTCTGTGGACATCTCAGAAAACAACGCTCCCAGTTCCCCCATCGCTGTCGTTTCTGCCACTGACCCAGACCTTGGTGAAAATGCACAGGTCTCTTATTCAATCCTTACAAGCATGGTGCAGGGCTCACCCATATCTTCTTATGTCTACATCAACCCGAAGAGCGGTCACATCTACAGCATGCGCTCTCTGGATCATGAACAGCTTAAAGCTTTCCGTATTGAGGTGCAGGCTGAGGATGCTGGAGTGCCCCCACGGACATCCAACGTCACTGTGCACGTGTTTGTTGTGGATGTGAATGACAATGCACCAGTGATTGTACACCCCTCCTACTCAAAAGATAAAAGATTAGAGTTCACTGTGGCCCCATCTGCCAGTCCAGGGCACCTTATAAATAAACTGGTCGCAGTGGATGCAGACAGTGGGCACAATGCTTGGTTGTTTTACTCAATTGCTCCTGGACCAAATGCTGGTATGTTCCGTATTGGGGCACACACTGGGGACCTCCGCACAGCTCGAAAGTGGGATGAGGAGGAAAGTGGTTCATCTTATGACATTGTGGTCATCATTCAGGATAATGGCGACCCACCCAAGTCCACTTCTGTGAACGTTACAATAACTGTGGATGAGAAGGCACCAGCCAACGATGCTCCGATTATTCCTCACCACATACCTTTCTACCAACGCAATGGGATGCCAGATATCACTTTGTACCTTATCATCTCTCTAGCCTGTGTGTCAGCGGTGTCCTTTATCACATTTGTTGTTCTCATGGTGCGCTGCCTGAGACACCGTGGCCCAGGGCTGGGAGGCTCTGAATGCTGCTGCTATGGTCACCACAGGTCCAGCCGCTACCATCAGAGGCCTAGCAAGGACCTCCACCTGCAGCTCAATACTGATGGACCCATACGATATATGGAGGTTGTGGGAGGTCCCCAAGAGCCACATACACGGACCTATAGGCCCTGCTACTCCACTATATCTAGCCGAAGTGACTTTGTATTTATGAAATCACCCATGCTGAGTCACAACAACACACTCAACATGACGCTCAGCAAGAAGTACCTTATGAACTCAGCCAGTGAGGTGAGAGATTAAGTGGGAGAGTGAGCATATACTTTTTACTATTAACATTAGACTTGTGGAAATGCATAAACATCCCAAAACACGTCTCTGTTTTGTTATACACTGAAAACATCCCCAGTGACTTGCTGTATTTTATCTTTTACTCCATTTGTTTTGTTTTACCCAGAGGACCAGTCTCTCTCTACATGGTGACAGGGCTCTGAGAGTGTTATTGTTTGGTTAGATAGTTTTGTGAAGAGTGAAAAAACATCTTAATATTTAATCTAACCCAAGGGCAAATGTGGTTACTATCTCTGGCTTGAAGCATTTTAAGTGACAGAGAATGCTGCTATCTATGAAGAAGAAAGCTGCAGTTATAAAGGGAAAAGAAGCTAGCTGGAATAGCAAAACAGGGGGAAAGGGGTAAAACATAAGTGCTGTTAACAGATGGAGGGGAGGAGACAACCAGATGAAGATGGGTACTGCAGAGTTGGCTCAGTGAAATGGCTGGAAGATAGAGGGGAACAGGATGACAGAGGGAGAGATGGGGGTGACGGAGGAAAAGAGCCAGGAAAGAAAATGGTAAGATGGGTGGAGGGAGAGAGCCAAAGAATAAAGCAGTAGCTGAAAAACAGGAATTCGTGGGGTCAGTGGCCTGAACCCTGACTTCCTGTTGTCCTCTGAACCTTTGATGATTGGTTCCATGACTCAGCATCACATGAGGTCGCTCTTAGTGATCAGTGGGGAATTCAGTAGAAAAAAAATAGAACGTTTTGTTTTTCATCTTTAATCAATTTATCCTCAGTATTCCTCATCTGGCATTTCACATCTATGTGAGGCTGCTCTGTTATTTTGATAATGATTTTTACCCTTGACTCTATTTAATATTTTTTTAAAAACCCTCATATTTCCACCAACTCTGTTTTATAAAGACTCTGCACAGAATTAGGTTGTCCCTGAGGTCAGCGGCGTACCATCTGTCTCTCTACTCTAGTGACACGTGTGCAACAAGGACAGCAGAGCAAAAGAGATAGAGGGACTGATAACTGGAAAGGAAGGATGGCTTTATGCATGTGTGGCACAGTGACAGACGGCACAGGCTATAAAGCTTTAGAGTACCACTACGGGTGTTTGCGTGCCTGCATGCATGAGATTGTGTGTAAAAAGCATCAGGCAGGAGGAGCCCTCCAGTAGTGTGTAATTTTAGCAGGGCCCTGGGGCCTTAATCCTTCCCACTGCCCCTCTTTGTATCCTTTATTCATTTGCAGTGTGCTCTCTTGGCAAACTCTCTT